CACACACGCGCACACACACACACGCGCGCACACACACTAGAGATGGTTCCATCTGAGGAGGTAGATATTAAGTAAATAAAAAAATTATGCAATCGTAATGTTAAATAGTAAGAGACAAAAATACTGTGATAAAAAATAGAGTAGAAAAAAAACTGGTTTGATAGGGTAGTCAGAGACAGGCCTCTGTGTGGCATGACAGATAGGTGATTGAAGGGACAGCAAAGAATTTGAGGTGTTCAAGGTTAGCTGTAGTATAATCACCAGGGAGAGTGCTGGAGGAGAGATGGCAAAGAGAGGTGAGAGTCAGATGGGCATGGCTTTATGGGCTATAAGAAGTTTTGATTTAATGTGAAGGAGGTTGGGTAGGCAATATTTAAGCAGAGGAATAACATAATCTGGCTTATCACCTAAACACATTACATCTTTATATATTTACATGTGTTGTTTCTTAGGTTTTTATTATAAAAGTAATTATATTTTATTTAGTATAATTTGGAAAGTTAAAAAAATCTGTAAAGCATATAAAAGATTAATCCATCACCCAAAACATACCATTTAAATTTTTAAACATATATTCTTCCAGTTTTTTCCCCTGGTATTTATTTTATCTTATATTAAATTATATTTAGAAAATCTGTTTATATCATAAGAATTTTCCCATTATCAGAGTCTTCAAAACACCATTTTAAAGATTAAAATATTTTGTCACTTGTCCACATCAAAGTTTTCTTAACCATTCCTCATTTTTTTGGAGATCTAGATTACTTCATATATTTTATATTATTTACATCTCTCTGATGATTAGTGACCTTGGGCATTTTCATGTCTATTGGCCTTGGTTGGTTGAAGCATCGTCCTGTCCATAAGTATGTCCTCTCTGGAGAAGTGTCTATTCAGGTCCTTTGCATACAATGGAATAAAGTCATTCTCTTCAATAAATGGTGCTGGGAAAATTAGAGAGGCACATGTAAAACAATAAAACCAGACCACTAACTTACACCTTACACAAGAATGAACTCACAATGGATAAAAGAGTTAAATGTAAGTCATGAAACCATAACAATCTGAGAAAACATAGGCAGTAAAATCCCAGACAATATTTTTGCCGATAATGTCTCTGAGGTCAAGGGAAACTCAGGAAAAGATAAACAAGTGGGACTACATCAAGCTAAAAAGCTTCTTCACAGCAAAGGAAACCATCCTTTGATGGTTTGGAAAGAGAGCTCACTATATGGGAGAACATATTTGCAAATGATACATCTGATAAGGGATTAATTTCCCAAATATATAAAGAACTTACACAAGTCAACATCAGGAGGACAGACAATCCAATTAAAAAATGGGCAGATTACCTGAATAGACACCTTGCTAAAGCTCCATAATTTTTTTTGAAAGTCTCACACGATGATAATTTTTCCATTGATTTGTAGAGAGAGTGGAAGGGAGGGAGGTAGGGGGGGGGGGAGAGAGAGAGAGAGAGAGAGAGAGAGAGAGAGAGAGAGAGAGAGAGAGAAATATCCATGTGAGAGAGACACACAGATTGGTTGCCTCCCTCATGCACCCCTACCACGACTGGGGAACCTGCAACCAAGGTATGTGCCCTTGACTGGGATTTGAATCTGAGACCCCTTGGTCCACGGTACAATGCTCTAATCACTGAGCAAACCAACCAAGGCATAAGCTCCATTATTTTTAAAGGGATAAGATAGTATGGAATTAATATGCTTCATAATTGTTATTGGTTTTAATAGCTATAGCAATTATTCATTAATTTTTTTGTTTTATATACTCATTCCATATTAATATTATATATTCCAGAAGACTCTAATCCAGTTTGTTACCCAGGAATGGTAATAACTTACTCCTTTAAGTGTATGAATTTGATTTAATATTGGAATGCTGTTCAGAAATTGGAACTCTTTGAATTTTAAAGACTCTACTTTATCAACTAATCCTAAGATACATATAAACTTTGTAACCTTGGGAGTACTGTGTAAGGTTTACTGTTGCCTGCTCTTCAATTTTACATGTATCTTATAGTGTTATATGCCTGTGTTACAGAGGGAAGATGTGAAAACTGGGTCAGGTAGAATAAAGCTTTTGCATGTTTCAGAGACCTGCTATTCTTTACGGTGTTCTATATGGTATAAATAGAATAAGAATCTAGATAATCATTAAGTAGTATTTTTGGAAAATGATAGGTTGGCTAAAGTAAATATGCATATTTGTTTTTTGTCTCAGCCTTGAGTTTTTTTCTCCAAAATGCAATCCAAATTAGGAGAAGAAATCATTTTAGTTTCAGGTTACTTAGTGAAAAACATATATATTGGGGATTTTTTGTTTTGTTGGTTTGATACTTGCAGGAGAGCAATTTTCTAAACATTTTTGTTTATGTCTGGAAATGGTGATCCAAGGGTTCTTGTATAAAAACAGCTGCCTTAATTTCAGAAAAATTGAAAGAGATTACTTGGCTGGAGAGGATGACTGATGGATGGCAGTATCTTTACTTAGGAATGCTAGAAATCTATCCTCTGATTTATTACACGAGATCCTAGATGAAATGAGAACTAATGATGTTAACTATCAAAAAATACATGCTTGTCTGGTCTTGATCAAAAGAGCTTTGCTTTTAATTTCCAAGTTAAGATTTATTATTATTAATAAAAATTTTAGTAATCAAGGATTTTTAAATCAAAATGTGCACTCTGCTTCCCAGTTAGTCATGATTTTGAAAGGATCTTTTCCAACCTTTACTGGTCCATAGAATTTAAAAACTAGGTAATACTTACTGTGGGTGACTGAAGATTCTTAATCTATTTAATTTTCTGAATTGTTTTACTTGTAGTGAATCAAGGTTTTGCTTTTGTTTCTTCCATGAACCAAAAGTTTCATTGAAATTCAAAATTGATCATAAAAATGGTGATGTAGTTTCTGGGTTTTAGAGTGTAAGTAATATAATAATATATTTGAATTATAAAGTGGTATGTTTGTTCTACCTTGGTTTGTATACATCATGGTTTGTACTTGTAGTTCATCTTTTTCTACAGTATATCCTATGTGTATTCACCCACATACATTCAGGCATATCGCTATTTTATCTTTACGTATGTATGTATATTATATATAAGCATATTTTATGTTTAAATACATGCATATATAATACCTGAAATTTCTGTGAAATACTCTTGTGTTTGCACCCTTTTTTCACTTTAAATGTACTATTCTGCACTTATTTTTGTGTCATTACATACATCCATGCTTCATCATTTAATAGCTGGCTGAATGGTGTTCCCTTAAATAAATTATCATAATTTGACTCTGGATATTGATGTTACTCACATATTTTTGTTACTGTAAAGCTACAGATGAGCATCTTTGTGCATGTATATAATTTAGATAGCATCTAAGGTATTATTATAAGAGTCCAAGAACTAAAATAGCTGGATCAGTGAGTATGTATATTTAAAATTTTAATAGGTAATTCCCAAGTGGCCTTTGAAAAGACTTTACCAATTTCCATTTCTTTTAGCAGAACATGAATTTGCTTCATCCTTCAGAACTTTATCAGTAATAGAATTTCACTCATTTAAACTCATGCTAATCTGTCACTGAAAAATTATTGTTTAACCTTGAATTTTTTTTGGCTGCTAGTGAAGGCCTGTTCTATTTATTTTGTGATTTGTTTATTTATATTCTTTGCCCATTTTTTCTGTTTGGTTGTATGTATTTTTTTCTTAGTAATTTTTAGGAGGTCTTTTGTTGTGAATATTATCTTTTTTATGTATTTTCTAATATTTTCTCCTAGTTTGCCTTTTGCCTTTAATTTTGTTTGTGCTATCTTTTATCATCTAGAAGTTCTATGCTTTTTATTGTCAAAGCTGTCTATAATTACCTTTATGGTTTTAGTATTTTATGTCATTATGAACATAAAGTTGGGGAATAAAACTTAGAAACATTACAATGTATTAATTATTGACTCTTCTGGGTTGAGGTTACCATTAAATCTCATTTGTGTATTCTGTGCCAATTGAGAATAAGACACACGAGTCATCAGATAGGATACCAATTATTAACTTGAATTTGTACTGGGGAGAAAAATGGAAAACAACAGCTGGAAAAATAAAAGAAACAAACACAATCTTGATAAAATCAAATTCTTCTGCTTTCTCTGTTCCTGAACTGGACTGGAGAAAAACATGCAACCCGGATGAGTTGACTCCCTTTGAATTCATGGCCAGGAGCACAGATGGATGCTCAGTGTTGTAAAGCAGTAGGATGTGTTACTATTTCACACATTCGGTAGTTTCCTAAAGCACTCATAACCTCCTCTGCCATCCTATTCTCAACTGAGAAATTTTAATTGTCAGTGGCTAAAATGAGCTCTTATAATAAATACTTAGTATTGCAGTGGGCCAGAGAATGAGAAGGTCTGTGTAGGAGTCTTAATGGCTAATTTGAATCAAGGGTGTGCAGAGAAGTTAGATAGATGGAAAGAAAGAAGTACACATGTACATAAATAGATATTTATTAATATCTTAATATGGTTTGAATTGGACTTAAAAGGATCATTGGCAAGTCAGAGGGCAGAGAAGGAATCTAGGATAAGCTGAAAAATAAAATAAGTGCCCTGTTATATAATTTTACTTCCAGTTACCACCATCCTGTTCTTTGTGCTCAATGGGTATATATTTTACTTCTGGGTACTGTATGAACTCCACATTGCATTGTTATTTCTACCTTAAAAAGTTAAGTGTGTTTTTAAAGAGACTTAAAGAGGTCTATGTGTGTATAATTGCAACTGTATATATTTAGAATATTTTTAAGAGGTTCTCTTTATATACCAACATATTTCCTCTTTCTGGTTCCTTCACTCCTTTTCTAGAATTGAGCTTCTATCTGGTATAATTTTCTTTCAGCCTAGCACTTTACTAATCATTTCTAGTAATGCAAGCCTTTGGAGACAAATTATTTTGTTCTTATTTTGTCTTGAATTTTTTTGGGGGGGCGCCAGGACCAATGATCACCAGCTGCCCAAGTACCAAAAAATTATGCTTCCTAAATCTCTTGATGCCAATTCCGCACACAGAGCAATCAAGCTGCTCTACCTGTGCCACTACGACAGAGGCCCTTTTTTGTCTTAATTTTTAAGAATACTTTCAATGGAAATAGAAATCTAGGTTGTCTTTTCTTTTTTCAGCACTTTAAAAATATCATTCCATTACTTTCTAGCCACCATTGTTTCTCATGACACATTATCCTTCCCATGGTAACCTTATATATATTGTCTTTCTTTCTTGGAGTGATTTCAAATATTTTCCTTTTGATTTTTTGCAGTTTGATCATTATGTGTGTAGATCTGGGTTTTCTTTTATTTATTTTTGGGGTTTGCTAAGCTTTTTTGATCTGTCAGTTGATACCATTCTTCAGTTTTGGAAAGAATTTTTGAAATAATTCTTCACCTCTGATATTGTATTTTTAAAATTCTAATATTTCCATTTGGCTCTTTTTACTATTTTTTAGTCTGTCTGCTGCAATTACCCTTCAGCTCGTGCATGTTTTCACTGTGTTCTTAAAGGACCATAGTTGTTTTAAGGTCCCTGTTTGGTAATTCTGGTATCTGCACACCCCCTACCTTTGGGACTAGTGCTAGTGACTGTTCTTGCTTTGGATAATAAGTCATTTCTTCTTGTTGTACAGTGTGTTTCATAATTTTTGAAAATTGAATGGCAACCATTATGTGTAAAAGGAATAATAGAGCCTACTTACTAGTAAATAAGGTTTATGCCCTGCAAAAAGACAAGCCTCTTTCTGTCATGTTAGTGGTGTGATTGCGTTGGTTCTGGGCTTTGTTTTCTATCCTGTAGTTGAGCTGTGTCCAGTTCTTGCTTTACTTATGTTTACTGCAGGCTTCATTTTGTTTGAGAGCAGGATCAGCATATTTCTTTGGTATGGTTTGTGATTTTTCTCTCAGTTCTCCTGACCTACCCCTCAGACTTCAGCAAGCCTTGTTCACCTGTTCGTACATGAGATCTCTTTTAGTGCCTCTTCTCTTCTCCTGGTCATAGATTGCCCTGCTTGATGCCCACCGAAAAGTTCAGAGTGCCTGCGGGATTTCTTTTAGTTCTTTGCCCTCAGACTTTATTAAAGCTCCACAGACCTGCATCTTGGTGGGATCTTTCTCATCTTCCGTTCCATCCCGTCCCACCCATCAGTCTTAAGAGCATTTGCTGGAGGCTTGTTGAAAAGTGATGGCAGGTCGGTGGACTCCCCTCTGTCTAGGATTGTCAGAGATTCGAAACTGTGATGCCAACCCCAAACATTTAAATATTTGTTAAAAGTTCAGTTGTTTTCTTCTTGTCAGCTTTCTTCTCCTTCTGTGTGCCAAGAATGAAAGCTGATATTTATTCCTTTTCTCTTATGCTGGACCCCGGCACGGGGCCTTTCACTTTTACAGTTTTTGTTCATTAGGTTTCTTTGGAACTGCTGTCTGATGAATGTTGAAAAGCTTTGATAGGTTGTATGGGTGATTCTTATTGTTATGATAGAATAGAGTTCTCTTATGATTCTCTGTGCCCTAAGGGAAGGGAAATTGTTAGTAAGCAACATGAGCTACCATACACACATACCTCAAATTCTGGTTTCATTTACATTAAATTTAACAATTACCTTGGATAAAGTTGCTAGTAGTCGGTAGCTCACACCTGCTCTGTCATTTCTTAGACTGTGATTACTCATCTTGACTTTATTACCCTCCCTTGTTTTTGAAGTATCGATCCTTTTTTGTTTACTGAACTGTCTAGCCAGAATTCTTGAAATTATTCTTAGAAGATTAGCAAATACTTTCTTAAGAGCTATACAAATCTAAAGAAGTTCTTACTTTGCTATAGCAGCATAATAGAAAAATAGTAAGTTTTAAACTTAGATGTAAATTATTGTCTGTGTTTTTTGTTTGTTTGTTTGTTGTTTTTTGTCTCGTTCATTTGTTCAAGATAAATGCCAGGTACATTTTACCATTTATTAGTTGGTATTTTACAAGACAGTATCATTGGTTGACAAGGTTTCTGTAGCTGACAAGAAGAATGTATGTGTAATATTAATGCTCTGCAACTTTGGTCTCTGTCTCTTACTTTAGTTCTCATTTTTTAGCTTTTAGGATGTAACAAAAAATGGCTGTGGTGCCTTGGTTTAACTAATTGGTGAGGCCTGAGTGGAATGTGGATAAGTGAACCATTTTGGCAGTGAGCAGAGAAGTAAAGCACACTTTTCTCATTAGTTGTCTCCCAGGCTAAAATTAAACAGAGTAATATATTGCCAAATTTTAGTGATTTATGGGGGATCTGTTCTGAGTCAACTCAGTATCAGACTAATTGTCTGCACACTTATATGTTAGAGCTTTTGTGTTATTTTTAAAGGCTGTGTCTTGTAAATTGAGTATAATATGAAAATATCTCTTTAGATTTAACAGAACATTACCTCTAAATATAATTTCAACTAAATTGATGTTAAATTAATAGATGATTCTGTTTTATCACCTATGTAACATTCATGAAGTTCAAGTGTGGTGGAGTCATTTGGGCATTTTTTGGTATAATATAATCATATACCTTATATGAACATTTACTGGTGAAGTACTTTTTAAAATGTTCATTATAATAAAATAAATGAGACTTTCAAGATTAATTTTTCTTGTGAAAATATTTTCACATTTGTTTTTCTTTTCCTTTCTCTAAAATTTTAATTGAAAAGGTATGCAAATAATTTATTGAGAAAGTTTTTAAAAATTTACTCAGCACATTTAGTTTCTGGCATATCTGAAAAGACTTTTAAAATAACTTGCCTAATATGGAGAATGTCTGTAATTTCTTAATTTACTTTTGTCTTTAGCAGCTTTGAATACTTTTAAATATATATATACTGATTTGTTTGTATAGGATTTTTATGTATTTTTCATCATAAATAAAAAAGTTTATATGTGGCTTAATAATTGAGATGGATGATAGTAGAGAGAATAAAACTTGATATATTTATTTTCAAAAATCAATTTAAAATTTTCCCATTAACATCTTTTAAATATAACATTTGATAGTTTTAAAAGAACATATATAACATATATAAGTTTTGAGGTAAAATCATGTAATGAATACCATTGTTTGCTAAGAAGTTGATTATTTGCTTTTTTTAAAAAAAATATTTTTATTGATTTCAGAGAGGGAGAGATAGAAACATCAATGATGAGAGAGAAGCATTGATTGGCTGCCTCCTGCACAACCCCTACTGGGGACCGAGCCTGCAACCCAGGCATGTGTCCTTGACCGGAATGGAACTTGGGACCCTTTAGTCCATAGGCCGACGCTCTATCCACTGAGCCAAACCACCAAGGCGATTATTTGCTTTTTTTATTCCTCATATAATCTTTTTTTTCCTCCATTTGGGATGCGTTTCTGATCTTTTTTCCTTCAGTGTTTTGTAGCTTCTTTTCTGTTTGCCTAATATAGGTCTACTTTTAATCATCCTGTTTGAATTCATTGGGTTTCTTGGGTTTGAGGCTTACTACCTTTCAACAATTATGTAAAATTCTCAGCTGTTATTTTTTTAACAATATTGCCTTTTACCCATTCTTTAGTAGCTCCCTCTGAAATCTAATTAGACATATGTTTGATCTTCTTATGAGTCCCCATGTCTCCTAACATCATTTTACTAGTTTTCTTTCATTTTTTTCTCAGATGCATTATTTTAAATTATCTTGTGTTTCTTGCATTTCACTATTTTTTCTTCAACTATAATCTGCTGTTTAACCCATCTAGTGAGGTTTTTACTTCAATTATATCAGTCTTTCTGTAATTTCCATTTTTCTTTAAAATATGTTGTTTGCTACATTATCATTGTCTGCTCCTCTTTATGAATCCATACTTTTGTATTTTAAACAGCTGTTTTATGTTCTGTATTCAGATATCTCCAGTACTTGAAGGTCTAAATGTGTTGTTTGTTGATTTTTTTTTGCTCTCTCTCATGCTGATTTTGTGTTATGAGTACTATTCACAGATATTAATTTGTGCTGTTACATGACAATGAATGGGAGACTTTTTTCAAAGAAAATTTTATTTTGTTTTTTTGCTGGTGGTTAGCAGGATATTTCTCAGCAAGACATTCTAAGGCTCCTCTACTTCTATTTCTCTTCCCAGTTCTTTCTCATGGCAAGTGTACCTGTTTTATAATGTTCCCTTTTCAAAAGGTAACTAGTTTCAACTCTTTCCAGTAATTATTTTTGTGTTTATATACGTATTTTTAAAATAACATGGTTTTTGTTGCTCTTTCTTAATTGTTCATTTTAGAGCACTATTTATTTGAAGTCTTACTGTGGGAAATAATAATTGGCCAACTTTCACCCTATTTAGCATCCATCATACATCTCTCTTATACACCCATGGTCTCACTACTATATCATAGGTTTGATTAATCCAGTACTTCATTTTTTTTTAGAATTTACATAGTTCTGCCTACAAATATTACTTATGTCACAGTAATGTTGTATCCTATAAATGGTTATCCTTGCCTTTTTAACATTTGTTTTTCCTGTATTTAATAATCGTGTTTGTTAAGTTTTCCATGTACCTGTCACTGATTCACTGTTGCCATCCTGGGGATTCCCATCGTTTTCCTCCTGTGTTGGATCCCTTGTCTTCTGGATCCCATTGTTTTCTTCCTTATTATTATTATTTCTTTTGGTGGACCACATTCTTTATTGTTAATGATATGTTATTTGTGTTGTTTTTTTATATTTATGCCAATACTAATTGTAAAGTTTTATTACAGTGGGCTTGTGTGATAGGAAGCAGTTCATAATAATTTAAATCTAATTGTAATTTCATTTCTCTATTTGGATTTTAGAAAAGTGTTTTAATCTTTAAGATTGAATTATACTTGAATTTAAATAAATTTCTTAAATTGTTTATTTATTTATTTTTATTTTTTCTAATGTAAACATTTATTTAAAAAAATACTACAGAGGAGAGATGTGGATTCAAAAAACAGAGTCACACACCGAAACAAAATGTACTGGACCAAAAACAAGAAAGAGAGAGAAACACCATAGGCATTGGAGAAGGGAGGGGAGTGGAAAACTATTTACATGTCATTTATAAAAGAGCAAGTCTACAAGAGTGTAATGCCAAAGTATAAATGCAAAATATAGTGGCACATCATGTGAAGAAGGAGGAGACCAGCACCTCACGGAAACAGGAGGCGAGGGGCCTGGGGGTCGGTTTGCTTTGTCTACAAGGCCGCTGGCGGTATGCTAGCACCTCCCTCAGTCTGTGCAGAACAGCAGTCTGAGGGGGCAAAGAGGTGATGTGCTGTGAGAACAGTATCAAACAATCCAGAGAAATAAAATACAAGTTTGGGTGATTAGTGTAAAAACAGGGCCTGTGTGAGGTCACGGGCAGAAGGTGTGGGGAGCAGAAGGTAGGTTGTTCATTTAAATGTGTTCAGCTAATTTTTTTTTTAAATTAAAAGCTTTAAAATTTTTTCTCTTATGATTTTCTCCCCACTCTGCCACATTTTTTAGTTTTCAGATTTGGAGGCGAATTCTATTTCTCACCTAATAATATTTTTTGAGAAAATGAGTTGTCGTAAAACAAAGGCAGTATTCAAAAGAACTCCCACTGCATACCATAATACTGTGTTTTTCTTACTACTTGGGGATGACAGTCTCAGGTGTAGTTAAGTTGCTAGAATTGTTTGAACACTGGATATCACTTTGGGAAAGTCCTGTTTTATTTCCCCTTGATAAAAGCATTTTTAAACCTTGTTATGTATACTACTGATATTTGAGAAATAGAAGAATTTAGGTCCTCAGGAAGAATTTGCATTCTATTACAGAAAAAAGTATATTAAATTGTATTTTCCAATTGACTTCATTTATGGGTCCCCTTTTGCAATCACCTTGTATTTTTCTTCTCCCATCATTTTTTTCCTGACATGTATTTGAGTGAACCGTTACTCATCAGCACATGCATTGGTACATGGATGGGGGACTTGCTTGTGTTGTCTCAGCATGCTGCTTAGGAATCTGTACTGACTCTGGGTCCTTGGGAGAAGTAGCACTGTAAGGTGGAACAGGAGTATACATGGCAAATTTTGCCTGTTTGAAAATTCTGTGCAAAGCTTTGAAAAAGGGGAAATTTCTCTTTTGCTCCCTGTCCTCCATCCTATTTCCAGCTCTGTGTGCTTCATTTCTCATAGGACTCAGTATTGATACTAATTTCACTAATACTGATTGTTTAAATAATCTGCAATATTTTAGAACAAATGGGCTTTCCCCATCTAACCTATCTAGCATTTATCCTGACTTTTTTCAGCCCCTACCTTGTGGCAGGTACTTTTCTAGATGCTGGAGATAAAGTTCAGGGCAAAACTGACAAATACGCCTTCTTTCATATTTTATACATCATTGTGGTGCTAATATTTTTATCAAAAAACATAGGTAGAAATGCAAAACCTTATTTATGAACCTATATAACTAATACATAAATTAAAAATGGGATATTCTGCTTTAGTTAAGTTCTGTCTGAGCTAATTTTTATCAGAGAGGGATAAAAATATTTAGTTGGTAGGATTGAATTACAACTTGTTGCACCTCAGCCTTGTGTATGATGTCAGAATGTTAGCCTGTATTTCATCTAGGCAGCTCCCTTTCTCTGCTTCTGAAGAGTTAAAGCTGTAATGTACAATGATTTATTGAGTGATTATAATTATGCTTCCTTTCACATCCTGAATTAGTTTTGTAAGGTAAACAAAAAAGGAGATAATATTCCATTCTCACGGCCAATATAGAAATTGGTGTTTGCCTAAAAATATTAAGCTTATTATTTTTTAAAGACAAATGTACTTTTTAAAATTTAGTAACTGTTTTTGCTTTTTTTCTGCAGTTCACATATGACACCCGCAATCCCAACACTTAGATTTTTTTCTCTTCTGAATTCTCCCCCCCCCCCCCCGACTTATGTCAAAAAAGCATATGCAGTCTCATAGGTGGGGACACGCAGGGCCACAAACATCCTGGCTCTCCAGCACTGGAACCTGGGCTTCCCCTTAGACTGCACCCACGCCTGTCTGCACTGGGGCTCTGCCCTAGTCCCATCACTCTGAGGTGTCCTTAGGCTAGAAATGCCAAGCAGGTTCATGTATGTGTCAACTCTGAATAGATATGGGGGCTGCCTGGAGCCCAGGGGTGACGCTATTGAGGCAGGCAGTGTCTGGGTTCCATTACAGAGAACACAGTGCTTGACTGGCAGTGTCTTCCCTGGCAATACCCACTTGACTTGTCTGGAATGGGATATTGGGGGAACAGGCTGCATGCCAGCCACCAGCTCAGCTCAGAAAGGGGCAAGGCGTTCATGCCATCCTTGCTCTGGTGGTTTTTCTCACTGGCCAGGTGGCTGCACGTGCAGCTTCTCCTCCCCTCAGGGCAGTTTCCTCCAGGCAGAGAGAGCTGGCGGCTGTCCACATGAGTTAGATGCACCAGAAATGACCTTAACCTTTGGGTAAGCTCTCAGTAATTTCCAGTCCAAACTGAAAAGGTTCATCTTCAGTGCTACTGAGAAACTAGAATAAAAGGATAGTGTTACTCTCACCGAGTTCCAGAATGAGGGCACACTCCTTTGAAAAGCGCTGCCTTCACAGAAGGCACAAGGGGGTGTAAAACAACGTTTCTAGAAAATACCAAAGGCACCAAACAAGACCCAAACATGGCCTTTCATGTCCCTTGGTGTACTCCATACCCCAGCCGCAGGGATGGGGGGGACTTCGGCCTGCGGACTTTGGGGATGTCACAGTGCTCCCTGAGTGCCTCTGGGTGTCTGGTGAATTCCTCCACTCTTTGCTTGTGGGTTTTGGAGGTTTTCTTCAGTCATTTCCATTTGCTGCCTCCTCTGCGTCGTTTTCGAAGGCTGCCTGGGCCAGGGTCCGCTTGTCCAGGCCATGCCACTTCTCTGTTCTTTTTGCTCGTTCCCCTGATCACCAGCAGTTTCACAATGTCTTTGTCCTTTTCTTTTTCCTCTTGGTCACGCCAAGCTCTGCTATGCCTCTCAGCTTCTAGGGCCCCTTTTGGACCTGCTCATAGGCTGCCAGGGCGCCTGTCCAAGACAAATGCACTTTTAATGAGATGATTCACATTCCATAAAATTCCTTGAAGCACATAATGTAGTGATTCTTAGCATACAGGGTGGGGCAAAAGTAGGTTTACAATTGTGAGTACATGAAGCACAGAGTTTATGCTTGTATTATTTATTAATTATTGTATTATTTTTTCATACAAACAACTGTAATTCTACTTTTGCCCCACCCTGTTTTTGCAAGGTTGTATAACAAATCACCATTTGCTAATTCCAGAACATTTTCATTACTCCTAGAAAAACCGTGTATCTATTAGCAGTTATTTCTCATTGTTCCTTACCCTTGGTTCTGATAGTCACTAATCTTTTTTGTCTGTAAGGATTTGCCAGTTCTGGCCATTTCATATAAATGGGATCATGCAGTATGTGATTTTCTGTGGCTGGCTTTTTCATGGTCTTTAAGGTTTTTCTGTTTTAGCATGCATCATTCATTTTTATGGATAAATACTTTTCCATTGTATGACTTTGCCACATTTTGTTTATCCATTCAATAATTCATGGACACTTGTGTTGTTCCCACTTTTTAAACTATTGTGATTAATGCTGCTATGAATATTTATGTACAAATTTTTGCATGGACACACGATTTCAGTTCTCTTGGTACTAGTATACGGTATATCTAGGAATAGAATTGTTGTGTCATATGGTAACTGCTTTTGGAGAAAATATATCAAAATGTTTTTCAAAGTATTTGTGCCATTTTTACTTTTCCTCCAGCAATGTCTGAGGGTTTGTCACCACTTGCTCTTTGTCTTTTTAATCATATTTATCCTAATCAGGGTGAGGTGATGTCAAGCTTATTATTTTTTATGAGGAATTATAACAATTTTTACATCTTGCTTTTTAGGTGCCGTACTGCTTTGTAGTGTACAAGGACTAGCAGTTAATATTGATCCAGTCTTATACACCTGGCTCATTTATCAGCCTCAGAAACGAACCAGTCGGCATATGCAGCAGGTGAGAAATTTTTATAATTTTCTCAATGAATAAATCTTTTTTCTATCATTTATTAGAGTTATATATGGTATTTCTTCTATTGATTTCATTTATGGACTTGGCAGAATTCTTCGGTCTCCTATTTTACCCCTTTTAAGCATTTCTATTCTTTAAAGAAGAGTTTCATTGATAATTAAAGGTGTTTTCTGTACAATTGCTTGTAAAGCAGATACATGACAGAGGCTAGTTGAGGTAGGTCATCCTATTTTACTGTCCTATTTTTCCTCATAGTGCCTACATGTTTGTTCTCAGAGTGTTAGATACATAAACATTTCTTAGTAAGTGTTAGTTTTCCTTTTTGTTATTTTGACATTTCTTCTTAATCTTTAGTTTTATTAACCCACATGTATTGGGCACCTAACCCTGGGATTAGGATAGTTGGTGCAAAAAAGTTGGAATATGTGTTTGTTTAAAAGGATATAAATTAAAAAGTAAATAGTAGCTAACTGTGGTTTCTAGAATACTTAAGTATAATTTTCCATGTCCTGATACTTAAGTGTAATTCTGACAGATGGGTTTTATTCCCATTTTAAAGATGAAGAAATTAATGCTTATTTACACTTTCTTACCTATTGTCACAAATCCAGTAAATGACAGAACTTAGAATTTAAGGTCAAATTTACGCAATATTTAATTTCCCATTGACTTAATTGTAGTTTTGTAATATTCTACTTGGAATACCTTTATATCGTTTTTTTCTGGAGTAACTTAAACCTAGTTTGTAGGAGAAAAATGTACATTTTTAGAATTACATTAGAATATAAAAATTCACTAAAAAGTACAACTTATATATCAAGGAGCATATTTTAAATGTTTTTCTTCACTTTGTTCTAATTTCATTTGAAACTTTTGCCTCTCTCCCCCATGCCATTCTTTCTTTTTCAAATAGTTCCAGACTTTGAGACAGTATACTAGATACCTGGGCTAAGATATAAAAGTCATGGTTGAAAATATCTCTCCCTCTAGAGCTTTTTATAGTTTATTGGAAAATATTATTTTTTTATTCTTTTTTAAATTTTATTTTATTGTTAAAAGTATTACAAATAATAGTACGTATGTCTCCTTTTTTTCCCCATTGACCTTCCCCCGGCCTCCCCTACCCGCCGGCAGATGCCCTCACACCCCCTAGCTCCCCAGTGTCTTGCATCCATTGGTTATGCTTATATGCATGCATACAAGTCCTTCAGTTGATCTCTTGCCTCCCCTCCACAACACTCCCCAGCCTTCCTGCTGTAGTTTGAGTCTGTTCAATGCTTCTTTGCCTCTGTATCTATTTTTGTTCATCATTTTATAATGTTCTTTATATTTCACAAATGAGTGAGATCACGTGGTATTTTTCTTTCGCTGACTGGCTTATTTCACTTAGCATAATACTCTCCAGTTCCATCCATGCTGTTCCAAATGGTAAGAATTCCTTCTTCTTTACAGCAGCATAGTATTCCATTGTGTAGATGTACCACAGTTTTCTAGTCTACTCATCTGCTAATGGGCACTTAGGCTGTTTCCAAATCTTAACTATTGTAAATTGTGTTGCATGCCTCAGTTTCACTTATTTGCTTTCTTGGCGATTCCTCTTTTTCTTTCCTCTGGGGATTGTTTCGTTGTCTCCCCATTCTAACTATCACCAGGAGGTCCAAATGCCGAGTTGCAGGGGCCTGAGCCATGTGCAGTGGGAGCGTCGTGCCACCCAAGTGTCACTGAAGAGCTCCAACACCAAGATGTGTGGCTGCCGTGCGTCTGTGGGAGCCACACACCCCGAGAATCAGAGTCACCAGCGCTCAGTGCTGCCTCGTGCTCACACCTAGAATCAGGGACCCCGCATGTGCTGCACTGAAAACAAGTCCCCGTGGGTGTACACGGAAAATCAGAGTCCCCAAGTGCACGCCAGGAGTCAGAGACCCCGAGTGCATGTGCTGAGAATCGAGTATCGGAGTCTCTGTCACTAGGTGCAGCCTGGCGCAGTGACTGGGTCCCTGTGTGCCGTGCGCGAGAATTGGAGTTCCAGGCTCTCAGTGTACGTGCACTGAGAATCAGGGATCCCATGCACGCACAATGGGAACAGTCCCCACGTGTGCGCACTGAGAGTCAAGCCACTGGTGCTCAGTCCTGCCTCTTACAGGGAGAATCAGGGTGCCCGGTCTGCTTGGGGGGCCGGTTGCAAAGCTCCCCTGTGTCGGTGGGAGGCCCACTCCAGCGCCACAGGAAACAGACTCCCGTGTGTGTGCGCGCGCGCCCAGAGTCAAGGTTAAGTCGCACAGCCACCCTGTATCGGCGAAGCCTGCTCGCGGCGAGTGGGTCTGGCAGGTCCTATGCCACCACAGAGGCCTGGGGGGGTGGGGGCGGGGAGGCGGATGGGCTCCGTGACTCAGTAATCTGCGGTCAGGATGTCTTGGTTTCCGTGAGTATCCAGGTCTTTGTCCCAAGTGGTTGTAGGGTCCCGGCTTGCATCTGAGACCAGATTGGGTGGTGGTGAGGCTAGGGTCCTAGTCGCAAGCAGTCCTGTTCTTCAAGATGGCTGAAAATATTATTAAAAATAGTAATGCCATTCTCAGTAAGTGCCATGTTAAATGTATGAACAGGATTATATAAACACAAAAAAGAGGAATAGTTCTCACAAGCAGGTGTGGGTTTTTAAAGGAGGAATTGACAATTGAGCTTAGCGTCATAGGCGTAAGCCAAAAAGGAAAGGTTGTTTTGGGCTGACCTGTTTGAGCAGAGGCAAAGAAGATGCAGTGTTTCCAGACTAGAGCCAAGTCTTCTTATAAAGAAAGACTGGTAGAAATTGGAAACCAATTCATAAAGTATTTTATTTATATAGCTAAGATTTTAAGACTATCCTACAGAGGAAAGAGGAAATATAGGAAACTGATGTAGATAGATTTGCATTTTAGAAAATTTGGGTGATGTGGAGTATGGGTCATAGAAAAGTAAGGGTAATGTCAGGGACCATTCGAAAAAATATTCTAAATTTTTTTTATTGAGTTATAGTAATTGACATATATCAGTTTCAGCTGTACAACATAATAACTTATTATTTGTATATATTGTGAAATGATCACCATAAGTTTAGTTAACATCCATCACCAATATAGTTACACATTTTTCCCTTATAATAAGAACTTTTAAGATTTACCCTCTTAGCAACTTTCAAATATACTGTACAGTATTATTAACTACAGTCATCATTATACATTACATCTCATGACTCATTTATTTTATAACTGAAAGTTTATACCTTTTGAACCAATTTACCCATTTTGACCCCCCATTCCCCCGCCAACCTCTGGCACCCACTCATCTGTTCTCTGTATATATGAGTTTGGGTGTGTTTTTTTTATTTAGGGGCGGTGGTTGTCTTGTTTTGTTTCGATTTCATATATTCTCTGACTAATTTTACTAATGCCTCAAAGTCCATACATGTTGCAAATGAAAAGATTTCCTTTTCTGGCTGAATAATATTCCACTGTGTTGTAAATTCTTCATTGGTTATTTTATAAAGGATGCAGTTCTCATTGTACACCATAGATGTTCCTGAACGTCAAGTAGTGTTTTAGCAGCTCAAGTAATTTAGACATTCATTTGATTGATACCAAGTTCCTTCAAAGATTCTGACTTTTATTTTTATTACATAACTATTTTAAAATTAAATATAAATGTATATTTTTTCTAAGTTCAAAAATAATAGTTTTACTTAAAAGATAACTAACAGACCTGGCTGGTGTGGCTCAGTTGGTTGGAGTGTTGTCCCATACACTGAAAGATTGGGGTTCAATCTTTGGTCGGGGCACATGCGGGAGGCAACTGATGAATTTCTCTCTCTCTCTCTCTCTCTCTCTCTCTCTCTCCCCCCTCTCCCCCCCTCTCCCCCCCCTTCCTATCTCTGTCTCTCTCAAAAAAACACACAAAAAACACCAAAACCAAAAAACCTAACAAATACCCATAATCCTATTAATCCAGAGTAATAAGTAACATTGGGGTAAATATGTTCATAGCTAAATCGTTGCATTTTTCTTTAATTATTCACTTAGAATATATTTTTAGAAATGTAATTAGTAGCTTACAGGCATGTAGCTTAGTATATTTTAATTCCCTTGTTATAATGCCAATTTGATTTCAGAATTTTATATAGTTTACATACATTTTCATCAGCACTTTATTGTATCACTATTTTACTATAATTTAGCATATCTCAAAAACATACCTTTTAAAATGCCTTTAATGTACTATTTTAGTCTTACATTTTCTTTGAAATGGAAAAGTATGAGAATAATATAGTTGAGTTCTATGACTGTATCACCGTTTCAATAGTTATCAATTTATGAATAATCATCTTTAATTTAAAATATATTAGTTGAGAAAAACAATATTCAGTAGCGGTGAAAATGTAGAAAATGGAGGAACTCATATACCATTGTTATGAGTAAAAATTCATAAACGTGGCATTATCTAGTAAAACTGAAAATGAGCGTACCCTGTGATACACCTGTGCTCTTACAGTCTTATGTATATGAACCTGAGGAGTCACGTCCAACTTTGTTGTTGCAATAGTATAAAATTGGAGACCACCCAACTGATGATATCTAGTGAAGAGGATAAGTAAAGCATGGCAGAGTCACATGATGTAATACTTAATTTTTAAAACTTGTACAGTAGCTCTTAATATGGATGTCTTTAAATTTTATTTAATGCAAAAAATTAGTTTTCCAAGGACATATGAAATATGACAGTATCTGTTTATATTTTTCCAAAACCACCCTATAAATAAATAAATAAATAAATAAATAAGTGGTTTTTAGTAATTACGAAGGATTATGTCAAAAGCATAATAGTGTTTGATTCTGGAAGGAATGGGCTATTGGTTTGCAGTGAGAGGAGATTTTACCTTTATTTTAACATTTTCTATCCCTTTTTTTTAAAGAAGCCAATATAAAATGTTAATAGCTAGTAATTACTGGTTATATTGAAAATATGGATGTTATTTTATTCTTTGTTATTTCCTGTGTTTTTACATTTATTAAATTAATAATAAATTAAAGGGACATTTTATAGGAAGAGTGATGAAAGGCTTTAAGTCTTTTGGGATTATGGGGTATTGATGGGGCAAGAATAGGACAAATCAGCTGACATTTGAGGAAATACTTAGTACGAGAAGGTAGAAGAAGTAAGCAGAGAATGGGAGATGGCTATTGCTTATTTTGATATTTTTGACTGGGGTAGCCATATTTCCAGAAAAGTAGAGGGAATCACATATCTTATTCTTCATACAGTATCTCTTCATGTGTGACGTGTGGCACCTATATTAGCAATCATTCAGCAGATGTTTATGGAGGGTCTGTTGAATGCCATTGTAGGCATTTGGAATATTGCTGTGTAGAAGGCTTATAAGAGCCAAAGTTTTTTGTTTGGCCTTTTTTTTTAAAAAAATATATTTTATTGATTTTTTACAGGAGGAAGGGAGAGGGATAGAGAGTTAGAACCATCGATGAGAGAGAAACATCAATCAGCTGCCTCCTGCACACTCCCTACTGGGGATGTGCCCGCAACCAAGGTACATGCCCTTGACCAGAATTGAACCTGGGACCCTGCAGTCCGCAGGCCAACGCTCTATCCACTGAGCCAAACTGGTCAGGGCTTTTGTTTGGCCTTTTATTGTATTTTTACCTATGTGAAAATGCTCCCAGAGTTTCAGCCAATGAAAGAAAGATTTTTGTTTGTTTATTGAGTATTGCCAATACTATGGCTTTCATTAATCACATCTTTTACCTGTTATGCTTGAATTCAGTATCACACTATGCAGCATATAATTTTCTCTAATTATTTATTATGTACTAGAGGTCTGGTGCACGGATACGTGCACCGGTGAGGTCTCTCGGCCTGGCCTAAGCCCTCTCGCAATCCGGGACCCCTCAGGGGATGTCAGACTGCCAGTTTCGGCCTGATCCCTGCAGGCCAGGCTGAGGGACCCCACAGGTGCATGAGTCTGTGCATCAGGCCTCTACTATGCATATAAGATCTTTGGTTAATCTCTTCCAGTCCTCCCCCCTCCCCCCTTCCCTCTGAGATTCATCAGTCTGTTCCATGTTTCCATGCCTGTGCATTGAGCGTCTGCCCCCGGTGGTCAGTGTGCGTCATAGCTACCGGTTGAACGGTCGAAAGGTTGAACGGTCCTTCAGTTGCTTCGGTTTTTATATATATAGATTGATTTTGATTGTAAGAATTCTTGGTTATATTCCAGGATTGTAAATAATGGCTAAGAAATTCAAGGGCTCATGGAATTATTAAATGTTAGAGCATAAAAGGGTTTTCTCTACCCCCTTATTTTATAGATAAGAGAATCTAACTGAATCAATACTTACATTATGCTGAGCATTTCTCATCTAGGTCTTAAATAGTATTTCCTATTTATATTTGTATAAAATATTTTGACTAAATATTTACTGTAACAGCAGGTACTCTACATTGTGATGCTTCCCTCATAGAGTTAATATTTTCATTTTCTCATTATTAACTTTCTTATCCTTTTATTCAGACTAAGTAACAACTTGAAAAATAATTTGCTTTTCCCTCTAGCTTATAACTTGATCAATTATATTATATAGCTTTGTAACATACCTATGTTGCCATTGAAATGTTTATTCATATTCTAAATAATATTCAGTCCTATGAGTTAGGTCTGTAGAAGGGTGGTTGTTGTGATGTTGAGGGTAACGTTAGACTCCATGGCAACCTGGCTGGCCCCCTCCAGATTCACCGTTGATGCAGCTGTATTACAGTTATCATCTGTTGTTTCCCAAGCTGCAATTTCCTTCTCAGTTTGTGGCTAAAACCCAACATTTGATTATTGTTTTCCACCCAGTTCAACATCGATCTTTGATCCTGCAGCAAACATAAAAATACCTATGCTTTTTTTTTGCCAAAAATCTGACAAGATTGTATTGGGCGTCATCTGTGGTAACATCAGACTTTATTTCAGTGAATAAAGATGAAACAGCTGCTTTATTGTTCAGCTCAGCACTCATGCATTCAATATAGGATCATAATGTTTTCCAGCTTTCTCTAACCATAGATATTTTTCTATGCTTTCTAAATATGCTGTGGATATCACGTTGTCAGAGAAAATAGACTTTCAGCAATTCTCAGAAAATATTGGACTGTCCATATTAAAATTTACCTAATCAGTTTATAGAAGTATGGCTCTAAAATATCATTTTTAAGAATAACCTTTAATTTTCTACTAACATTAATTTTCTTTTCTTTTTCTTTTTATATTTATTGAATTTATTGGGGTGATCTAACATTAATTTTCAAAGCTACTTTTAGTTTTGAATTGCTCTTACTATTTTATCTTTATACTTTTTACTAAAATTTACAATTATTTTCAAGATTTCACACAGGATTGTAATTTATAATTTTTTAAAATATATGTTTTATTGATTTCAGAGAGGAAGGGAGAGGGAGCGAGAGATAGAAACATAATGTTGAGAGAATTATTGATTGGCTGCCTCCTGCATGCCCCTCACTGGGGATCAAGCCTGCAACCCGGGCATGTGCCCTGACCAAGAATCGAACTGTGACCTCCTGGTTCATAGGTTGGCCCTCAACCGCTGAGCCACACCAACTGGGTGTAATTTACAGTGTCATTCAGTGTGTGTGTGTGAGGGGCGGGGGGGGGGGGGGGCGACACCTGAAGAGAAAGGGTGACAGAAATTGGTTGTTGGATTGACGAATTGACAAAGTATAAATCTCGGCCCCAAGTTGTAAAGGCCTTTCCTCAGTAATTCTTGTTAAACTTTCACTGCTTATGAATTAGTACGTAATTGTAATTCAGTTTTTCATTTGACTCTCTCCAGCAGCCTGTGATTGCTGTTCCTCTTGTTATGCCAATTAGCAGAAGGAAAGAGGATGAGGCATCTGTTGGAAGTGCACCCTTGGCAAAGCAGCAGTCATATCAGGCCTCTGAGTACGCCAGCAGCCCTATAAAAACAAAAACAGTAACAGGTATGTGTCCAGAATTCTAAAGGTTCTGTGATCTTACCCAACCTCTGAATTATCAAATTATCTGGGCCACGGTTTCATGAATGTTGACCAGAGACATGAGACTGCTGGACTGGAGACAAAGGACTTTGTTATTTACAGCATTAGAAGTAACCAGAGTGTTAGCATTTTCTTGTGTCCCTCTCCTAGCCCATTTTCCATAGGTGTAATACCTATATACATTATAGGAGAAAAGCCCTCAATTGAGTGAACCTAATGGGTAGAAAAGCATGTTTGCTGTTTTTTTGGAAGGAGGCACTATATGTACCTTGCAAGACTGTAAGTAAACTTGTCCAGTGTTTAGAAAGAGGATAATATTTCTGTCTTCTGAGGCTACATGCTGTTCAGATATCCTTGAAATCACAATTGGGGTCAAAGGCACTCACTCTCTCTACTTTTGAGACATGCAAAAACATAAGAGATCCTATAGAATTGTCTCCCAATAGGATGTTCCTTCTTAATGTTAATTCTTGCAAATGACAGTACATCTCAATTTTCTTTCCTCCCCCTTCTCTTACTTTTTGAGCTACCAGTGGTTCTCAACCTTCCTAATGCCACGACCCTTTAATACAGTTCCTCATGTTGTGGTGACCCCCAACCATAAAATTATTTTCGGTGCTACTTCATAACTGTAATTTTGCTACTGTTATGAATTGTAATGTAAATATCTGATATGCTATATGTGTTTTCCTATGGTCGCGACCCACAGGTTGAGAACCACTGAATGTCCATGCAAATATAAGACATAAACTTTCTTCCATAAAACATTTTATGTTATTTCCTTTATTGTGAAGAAAAAAAACTCACAGTATTTTATGATTTAATTTTAATTGGCATTTTTATCTTTAACTTCTAATGTTTGTAATGATGGGCCATTCTCTCTTCAGGTGATTTTTTCTTAGATATTCAGCTTTATTTCATACTAGAGGCCCAGTGCATGAAAATTTGTGCACTCAGGGAGAGGGGGGGGGTGTCTCTCAGCCTGGCCTGCATCCTGTAACAGTCCAGGACCCCTCAGGGGATGTCCACCTGCCCGCTTAGGCCCACTCCCCAGGGATTGGGCCTAAGCTGGCAGTCAGACATCCCTCTGGAAGCCCAGGAGCCCTCGGGGGATGTCCACCTGTCATCTTAGGCCCGCTCCCTGGGGGATCAGGCCTAAGCTGGCAGTTAGACAGGCCTAAGTCACAGTCAGACATCCTTAGTGCTGCCAAGGAGTGGGAGAGGCTCCTGCCACTGCCCCTGCGCTCCCAGCTGTCAGCATGGCTTGTGGCTGAGCAGAGCTCCCCCTGTGGGAGCACACTGACCACCAGGGTGCAGCTCCTGCATTAAGCATCTGCCCTTTGGTGGTCAGTGCGCGTTATAGCGACTGGTTGTTCCCAGTCATTCTGCCATTAGGGTCAATTTGCATATTACCCTTTTATTATATAGGATAACTCATATTGCCAATTGTATTGAAAAAAGTTTTATATTTTCAATAAATCAAAACCCACTGTTAAATGTCTGTAAAGGGCAAGACTCTGTTGTAAGTGATATTGAGGGTAGACAATTACTAAGACATAATGTCTGCTTTTGAGAAATTTAAAATATGATTGTGTACATAAGGAAGTTCAAATGATCATTTGTGGTTAAGAGGAGAAGTTAGTATTTTCATATTTGATAGCAACAATAAATATGCTAATATACATTTTTGTGGAGTTTTATACATAACTATTATTATGCTGTTCTCTATTACTTTCCTAAAATGCGATGTTACGTTTATTTTGTAGAATTTTTAGTTTTTCATCTCTCAGTATCCACAAACATTTACTCTCTTGAGATTTACTTTATCAATTGATAAAAATGCTGATGCTTATTTTTTGTATCATAGGAAGATTATTTGTAACTTGCATTAAGTTTTTAATATAGATTTAGATATTTTTTCCTTTGGTTACCATCTCTTTAACTGGTATTTACAGAAAGGCCTATAAATATCCTCTCTAAATAAAATAAATGTACACTAAGTGTCAATTGATAAAAATAAATTTAATCTTATATACATATTAACCACATATTCTGGCCTCCTGCATTACTATTTAGTCCTGTTCTTTTTAAATTTTTGATTTTTTATAATTGATTTTAGAGGAAGAGTAGGGAGGGGAAGAGAGAAGGAGGGGAAGAGAAAGAGAGAGAGAGAGAGAGAGAGAGAGAGAGAGAGAGAGAGAAACATCTGTGATGTGAAAGAGAAACATTAATTGGTTCTTTCTTTACATGCCCCAACTGGGGATTGAATCCACAGCATGGGTATGTGCCCTGACTGGGAATCAAGCCTGCAACCTTTTGGTGTACTGGACCATGCTCCCATGCTCCAACTAGCTGAGCCTCTGGCCAGGGCTATTCATCTTCTTTAAATCATATTTAATAATTGATATCAAGTAATTGTTAAGAATGGGTAAAGGTGACAGGAAATTCTTATTTAAGTGAAATTATATGACATAGAACTCTATAGAAATATCATAGATTTTAGAAAAATGTGCATTTGCTATGCATGGAGAAGTTTTATTTCTAAATTTACATCTATATCAGTTACATATTAATTCACAAATGATATCAGTTAATATCCAAGATACATTTTGCTTTCTTATATTTATTAATTTTTATAGGGAATTAATTTTATATTGAGGAAAGTAATAAATCAAAAACATAGCTTTCTATCATTATTATTACTTTATAGAATATGAAGATGTATATAAACAACATGTTCTTTATTTCAAATCACAATAACTGTGGTTCTTTGTTTTGAGTTATGGTATTTGCTTTTTCTGTCTTTATTGTTCCTCTGTTTCTAGAACACTTAGGTTAGATATCTGATGGGCAGTCTCTTTATAGGTAAGGATATTAGTACTTCACCAAATATCAATTCTTACCCAAGCTAGCTTAACAATTAACAGTTATCAGACTAATCCCCTGTGCTTGCCTTGTTTTGGCACTGTGAGCATGTTCAGGAGGTGAGAAGCCCTGACGAAAAGAACATTTATTCTTTACGACTTACATGTCTTCCCCTTTGGATGCTCCCATTTGTACTTTCCTGGGAACCTTGGTGGTAGTGCTCTCCCTTTTCTTAAGAATGCTCTTTGCCAACCATATGCTCTCAGTAGAATTAAGTTTCAAAACGTTTTGTTTTCCTTTTAATTAGAGTATACAGTTCCAGTTTGGTTTTAAATAAAAAATGTTTTATAAGTCCTTTGAATGTTTACCTACTTCTATATGTAGTTATCATTGTTTTTATTATTGTTTACATTGCATCCTGAACTGTAATGAATTTGGTAAGGTATTCAGAGCCTTTTGTTGCTTTTGTTTTACTTTTTCCATCTTTACCTTTTTAAGTGTACAGTTCAGTAGTGTTAAGTGTATTCACATTGTTCTGAAATACACACTTTAATTTTTAAACGGGACTTTATAATGGAGAAATGTTTATTAATTTTTTCCTGAATTCTTATTAAATTTTTATTTTTATTTTTATAATCTCAACCTAAAGTCCAATGTTGGTTTTAAGTTCATCCCCAACAACTTATGTAGTGTTTTTGGCACATGATGACGGAGGCTAGCTGATAAACTCCAGGCTTGATTTTGGTTTTTAATTATTCAAGATGAAGCAGACATCTTCTTCTTCCAGTCTCAATTAACCAGGGTAAAGTAGCTCGCTGCCCTGGAACATGTGACTGATGACTGGAATGTGTTGACAGCAGAACAGCACTGTTTCACTGATACAGGCACGCAGGGCAGGCCAAGCCAGGATCAAGTCATGTTTCACATGAAGATAATATATTATTACAGAACTCCAAATTGTCTTCCAGAGAATCTGTATACCCTTCAAAACAAGGAAACCCTAAAAGATAGGACATCTGTTTACCCTCTGTTTTGGAAACCTTATGAACATTAATTTGGGGCTCTTGACAAAAATGTCTGTAATGGAAATGAAAACTGTAAAAAGCAAGATACTCCATAAATGACAACTTTAAAAAAATACTATTCATTATCATCAAGTCTAAAGCTCTGCAAGTACACAGTTAAAATAATAGAAGGCCTTTTAATTTGACTCATTAAATCTACCAAAATAATAAAGATGTGATCATTAATGATGTAAAGTTTAGGAGATAATGCCACAAGTGAAAAGTATGGAACTTTAACTTCTGACCATGATGGAGTAACAGGGATTCGGATTATATTCTTGCTGTAAATAACATATGGTCAAAGTATATGGGAGAAATAAAAGTTTGTGCACATTGGACAACAGGCAGTATAGGATGTGCTCCCTCACAGAAGGGAAATAAATGAATGAGGTGAGGGCTAGTCTTGCCCTGGCTTTCTGGCTGTAGGTACATTCCAGACAATTGAGCAGGGTGGGATATATCAGATTAAGCTCAGCTGTGTTGTTGAATTGAAGTTATGGGAAGCACAGGGATAGAAGTATAAGGAGGCAGAGATGACTGGAAATTAGGGGACAAAATTCCAGAGAGAGAAAGCTATTCAGTGAAAGAGTCCCAGAAAGCCGCAATAGAGTTCTTGAGTATTCACTAATGAGTGAGATGTATAGGATGAGACGCCACAAGATTGGACATAGGATGACTAAGGAGCTGTGAACTGAATGGTTCTCAGAGCTCACACAGGGCTGGAAGGCATTCACATTCCTACTATCCATAGCATACAATTCTTAGAAATCATTAAGAACATCGTAGAGAACCCAGAGCAGCATGCCTTAGTAGTGGAGCTAACCTATCCACAGAGTAAAGGCTACTCTAGACCCACCTTTAACAAGCATTACAAAAGAAACTAAAACAATGAGTAGGTTAACTTCTGGCAGAATGAATCCCAGTGCTATTAAGAGGAATACAACAAGATACCGACAGGCAACAATGTAAAAATCACAATGTCAGCCATTCAATTCGATATACAGAAGTTTTATTATAGAATTGTACACCTGAAAC